CTGAATCTGCTGAAACCTTGATCTTAGACTTCCCAGCCTCCAGGAACTGTGAACAATAAATTTCTGTTGTTTATAAATTAAAAAAAAAAAAAAAAGAGTTCATGACCCTTCAAGGTAAGTCATTTTATCATGAAAAAAAGGAAGGATGAAGGAGACCTTGTTTCAGAAATAAATTTTCATCTATTTTTACTATTTTTCATCTATATTTACTATTTTTCATCTATTATTTGAATGGAATAATATTTTTCTAACAATAGATTTTTTGAAAAGACGGAAGCCAACATATAGCATGGTTGCAATGTTTAAATTAATGTGAAGAATGTGTTCCAAAGAAGTGAACCATTTCAAAGAGATAAAGTCCTCTTTGTCTTTTTTAGCAACAAGAACAATGGTTGTAAGAAATCTAGTTTAGGTTTTTCTAGGACCATGTGGTTTTGAGGTACTCAGCCATTTTACTTTCTTATTGCCAAAGAAGTTATCATTCAGATAAAAAGATTCTTGGAGGCTTTAAAATAAAATATGTGATTATACTTTATCAGTAAATCTTGCTGTATAAGTCAACTTGCCACCATTGGTCTTTCCATAGTAGCTCAAGTCAACATTAACCATGGACCACTATGACTACTTGGAAATTTTGTCACTCCTAGTGATTCTATTTTTCTATTTCAAGACTTTCTGACCCTTTCTTTAGTGTTAACCTCCTTTTTTTTGTGATGGCATTTCTGGGAATTGGTGGATTTATTTCACTTCTTCCTTGTTTCCCACAGCTATGCCAAAAGGTTGCAGTTATATCACTACGTGTTTATTTCTTTGCTGCCTGCTTGGCATATGGACAATATATTTCTGCTCTTGAACCATCTGAAATTCAACAGTCTTCTCTTCACACAAGCAAAACCCAGCTTTGATGATGACAGCTTGGCCACATGCCAGGGTCTTGCTTTTAGTTACTCTTGCTTGGTAATTTATTATAAAGAAAGTATAACATCTGGTTCATTAGGAAAAAGTTATCAATTGTATATAGTTAAAGCTGTGATAAATTTTAAAATGTGGTAGTAAAGAATCTGTTCACTGATTAAAACTAGAAAAAAGTATCATCATGACTAGTAAGTTAAGGTCAGATAATAGAAGTGGTGGGATTTGTGGTAAGACTAAATAACAAATGGGGAATTTTAAACTTTTTTGTTGCTTTTCATATTCATGAAAAGTCAGTGTGATTCATGCAATGACTCTATGAGTTAGATATTTTATGAACTCTATTTACAATTGGTGGGCATAAAACTTAGGAAGATTAAATGACTTGTCCTAGGAAATACACCTAGTAAGTTGCAGAGAGGGTCGCAAACTCTGATACCTGACTTTTTTTATGGCAGCGTGCCTATCTGAGGAGTCAACAAAAAATATATAAGTCATATCACAAGTGGAAAAAAGGAGGGAAGGATATTTAGGTTTCATCTAATCTCTAAATGTCTTCCTTTTTGGGGCCAGAAATATTATCTTTCACTATTCCAGATTATTGCTAAAATGTATTAAATTTATTGGGCAACAGGGAATGGTTTTAGGGTTCCCCATCCATCTCCATTAGGATGTATTAATTCATTACAGTTGTTACTTCAATTCAGCCATTTTGGAAGAAGCAGAGGTTGTTGGAGGTTGAGAACTGAGAAAGTAGATTTTAATAGGAAACAGGGATTTGCCTTGAAGGCGGTTGTGGTACTATGACCAAAGAGTTAGATCAAGAGGAGAGTGTGAGAGTTGACAGGGTATAAAAGGCAACCCTAGATAAATTTAGACCACTCTCTGCTCTGGTAAGGGCCAGACAAGAAACCTGGGATGGAAGTAAATCAAGGCTAGAGTTAGCAAAAATCATACTCTGATTCAATATTTGTTCTTGCCTTGTTCATCTTTTTCTGGTTCTGCTAGATTTTCAAAAAGTCAGTCCCAAAAGCTACTGTCATATGATATGGCAGAGCACTTCTGTTCGTGTCAGCTAAGGGAAAAGTCTGCTGCAGTTAAGATTGACAGGGGCAAACTGAGGTGGGTGGGGGACATAGGCAGTAGCTCCTTTGTTCTGTCGTTAATGGGAAACAGACATCTAAACACCTCTTGTAAATGCTCGAATTTATCTCAAATATATTAGGCACCATTATGGTATCCTTTATTCAGTCTTTGTACCATGAGTATGAAGACCCTTCCAGCATTTTTACAATGTGCTTCACTTTATGAAGACATGTTCCACCTTAAGAAGACTCATCTAAAATGAAATTAATGAGTTCCTTCTTAGGATTGGGTTACATGCCGATGCACATATTTGCTTTAGACACACCCTTTTTCCACAGCGACCCAAAGGGCAGCTGGGCATTTTATGTAGGAAAAGAGAATTCTTTGTGAGAATAGCCTCACGTTTGGTGAAGAAATTTTACCCAAAACTGAAATACAATGAAGGAGGTGCAGACTCTGTTTCAACTTAAAAAGTTCATGTTCTTTAAAACATGAAAATTTATTTAAAAACCTTAGCTATACCTTTCCAAGTAGAATAATTTTTCTACACAAGTTCCTTCTCATTGATTTTTTTCCTACTTAGAAAATTTCCACTTTTTAATGATTTACATTTACTCACTGAAAGATTGTATGATAATTAAAGTCAAACTAAAGAATAAGGATTTTTTTTGTTAGACAATATTTTAAAACTGTTTTAAGAAAGATTTAAAAATTGAGAAAAAACATCCTAAATTTTGGTCTATGGTTTTCTCTGATTTTGTGGACTAGATCGTTAATCAGAAGGCTATAATTTATTAGATGAGTGAGCAACTGCCAATGTGAGATTGTAATTTGTAGACAAATAGCTGAAATTATTGGTTTGGGTGAATTCAACATATATTTTACCATTTTGTAAAATTGCCCAGCTTGAGATACTGCTTTCAGAGAATTTATCAGAATCATATACATTAAGTTCATAGATGATTATTTTTGTGTGTTCCTTATTTTGAGGACACATTTAGATTTTAAACTGTACTCGCAGTTACAGCGAGGTAAATAGCACTTGCTTTTCTGATTCAAAAAAGTGTTTGATAAAACTACTTCTCAACTATTTTTTTTTCTCTTGCAAAAGGACAAGTTAATATAAATACTTTCTGGTACTTAGAAAAATCATAATTTTCTAGCATCTCAGTCAGGACTCTTTTGGCACATATTTTGCAGTCTCCCTTTAATTGTTGACTTGTATATTCATGTGTAGTTTAATTCAGTTTAAACTGACTACCAGGGAAAGGCTTCAGGCTATTAGGTGGAGATTACAATTATGTTCTTATTTCACTTGTGGAAAGGGCCAACTGTGAAGTACTTCTAGGAAGACTTTATCTCAGTCTCTGTACTGCGTATGGAGCTGTGCTGGTGAATAACTGGTTTGCCTTCTAAAGGTTTCATAGAAAGTAATATATGTCTTGTCTTATCAACCTTGTCACTTATATTCTGAAGGCTGAAAATTCTGATTGTCTTGAAAGCAAGAAAGGGTCATCCCTACAGTTTCAAAAGATGAGCAAGACAGAAGTTTAAATGTGTAGCTATTTTTTCTTCTGAATATTGTTACTTATTTTAAGGATAGTAATACAACTTATCGTGATGAATTTAAAATATTTTAATCAGTGAAAGGTAGAGTTGGTTGCAATTCTAATTAATTTAGATTCAGACAAATTAATTAAATCAGAATTTCAGATAGCATGCATTAAATATTATTTCCAGACTATTTACATTTTTCATAATAAATTCACACAAAATGGGAGGCAATATTTAATCAATTTAATAAAATGTTTCTTCAAAGCTTTAACAGAGCAATTATAAATACGTAAATTAATTTGCTAAATAAAAATATTGCATATGTTAAAAAGTTGAATAGAGCACCTATTTAGAAATATATTCATGCAATTCTACTTCATTTATATAACTAGTAAACTTGCCTTCCTTAAATTTTTCTGAAAGGCTGTTTACTTTTTGAAACTGTACTCATAGTCTTCACATCTCTTGGGCCCCTGAAGGAAAGATATAAAGTAATCAAAGGAGGAAGGATCCAAAGAAGCAGAAATATAATGATTAGAGAGCCAGAGATATTATTATTTAAATTGTCAATGGAGTAAAGTTTCAAAAAGCAGTTCCTCATTAACAGTGTTAAGTGCAGCAGAAAGGTCCAGTAAAACAAAGACTAAGAAGCTCACATTGCATTTGGCAATTTGGGGTTCATTTGTGATTTTTCTGAATGCATTTTGAGTAGAATTATCGAAATCAGATTGCTGAAGCTAAAGGAGAAAATGGGAAGTGAAAAATTAGAGACAAAAGATCCGGTTAATTTTTCAAGTCTGGATGGCTAAGGTAGGGAGCAGATGGCAGAGGAAATGACGGTGCTAAGGGAGAGTTTTGAGGAAGGAAGGCAATTGTGCATGTTAATACACAGAGGGACAGCCACTGTCGGGGAGAAGTTAAAAAGAAGGGAGAAGAGAGGTATTCAACAAATACTGTATACATGAATTTCTTTATTCTATTAGTAAAAATTTAGTTACACCAAGAAGCAACTTTTTTTGGGCTTTAGAGTTGACAATCAGAAGAGTTATAAAATTGTATTTGTTTCTAAAGTTTATGGTGTGTACTCCCCCAAACTACTTTAAAAATCTACTCACATCATTCTTTCTCACCAAATTTCACCTAGTTGGGAAGTGTTTACTATTTCCTATTCTTGGGGAGAGCTTAGGTGAGATTACTATTACTTCTTAAATATATATATATATACACTTCTTAAATATATATTACTTCTTAAATATATATATATATATATATACACACATATACACACACACACACTTCTTAGTAAACTTCATTTTAATGGGTCTCAAAATGACAGATTTTTGGTCAAGTTTTTTTCATTAAAAAGTACTGATTTTAAAAACTAATCACTTAAAATGGCCACACACATTAAAAAAAAAAAAAAGAAAAGATAAAGAAAAGAACAACAAAAACCAAAGTGGTCCACAAAACATTCTCCTTTCCTTCTGAAGGTTTTATGATGCATTGTTATCATTAACCAGTCATTTACTATTAAACTTAAATGGCCAATTGAAACAAACAGTTCTGAGACTGTTCTTCCACCACTGATTAAGACTAGAGTGACAGGTATTAGGGACAATATTCATTTAGCCTTCTGAGCTTTCTGGGCAGACGTGGTGACCTTGCCAGCTCCATTGCTTTGATGATACCCACAGCAACTGTCTGTCTCATATCACAAACAGCAAAGCGACCCAGAGGTGGGTAGACTGAGAAGCTCTCAATACACATGGGCTTGCCAGGAATCATATCAACGATGGCAGCATCACAAGACTTCAAGAAAGTAGGGCCATCTTCCAGCTTTTTACCAGAAGTGCTATCAATCTTTTCCTTCAGCTCAGCAAACTTGCATGCAATTTGAGCCATGTGGCAATCCAGTACAGGAGCATAGCCAGCACTGATTTGGCCTGGATGGTTCAGGATAATCACCTGAGCAGTGAAGTCAGCTGCTTCCATTGTTGGGTCGTTTTTGCGGTCACCAGCAACGTTGCCTTGACCAACACCAGCAGCAACAATCAGGACAGCACAGTCAGCCTGAGATGTCCCTGTAATCATGTTTTTGATGAAGTCTTCATGTCCTAGGGCATCAATGACAGTCACGTAATACTTGCTGGTCTCAAATTTGCACAGGGAGACATCAGCGGTGATACCATACTCACACTCAGCTTTCAGTTTATCCAAGACCCAGGCATACCTGAAGGAAGGTAATTTTAATTGCTTTTTCTTATTCTTGTATTTTTAATAGGTATTGTAAAATTAAAGTAGTCCAATTTACTCAGAATTTCTAGGAAGTTATTTTGGACAGTTTGCCATAGCATTTTCTAGTATCTTCAAGCAAAATTAGTGAAGGTTGTTATTTGGATACATTTGAACGAGATAATTTTAAAATAGAGAGAAAGTCATGATGGAAATAAAATATGCAGATTTAACTTTTGATCCCTCTTGTAGGTGAGAGGTGATTATGATTAAGTTTGATTGTTGCCAATGAATTGTTAAGATCCTGCTTCCTTTGGCAGAAAAGGAATGGGGTAAAAGGAAAGAAAAAGGAAGTTAAATAGCTACTCTGTTATTTCCAAAGTAAATAATTATAGAATAAAATGTATGTAACTACCTCAGCCTGTGAAAGGTCAATTACTCCTTTAAATACTTCAGAGGTGGGTACATTAATTGTTGTATTCCTTGATTCTTTCTTTTGTTATTGAGTTAGTATATGGACAATGCAGCAAATATAGAAATCTTTCTTTTGTTCCAATACTTTTTCCTGTTAGACTCCAGGCAAATTTCTAAAAATATTTGTACCTATCTAAGTAGGATAACTAAATGTCACCACATCTTAGAAGTTTGATTCATTCTGTCAGTCTGCTTGGACTGCAAAGGCAATTATGAGGTAAACCAAAACTTTGAATTTGTTTTGTTTGGGAGCCCCTGAAATTTCCAGTTTTTTCTGAAGTCATTCATTTTAGTTAAGGGCAAATTTGGATTGTAATTTGTGTCTTTTTTCATCGAGACTTTAAGCTTGGCTTTAGTTTCCTCACCTGCTGGTTAAGAGTTCATAAAATGTTTGTGTGTGTTTGTTTCTGTGATACGAAATAATTCCAGTGTGTTTAACAGTTTCCCAGAACGAGAAACTGTGCATCCTGGTAGATTTTCAATCTACTGATGGCAAGGAAAAGCAATGATATTAATATAGATTATTTCCACTCCTCTATTTTTCTTTCATCTTATCCTTAAATGTGACCAGGCAACATAAACTAACTAAAGTCTTCTAAATGTATGAGACATGTTAGAAATGATAAATCAGTGAGAATGAAAAAAGGATTTGAAGTTATCTCTAAGCAGAATACTTACTTAATATATACTTATGCAGCATTTGCCATGTGCTAGACCTTGTGCTAAATATTTGCAAATATTAGTTCATTTTGAGCTCCTAATACCCAGAGAAGATAGATACCATTGTTATCATTCACATTTTACATATGAAGAAATGTAGGCATTGAGAGGTTGAGTAACATGGCCAGATTCACAAAACTTCTGGCAATGAAGCTGGGATTCAAGCTCTCTGATCTGTGTTCTTAATTATTCTGCCTAGTTATTCTACTTCTCATTATGTGGTGATGAGTTAACTGCATTGTTGTAAGAAAAAAAAAATGATGACCTGGTGAATTTCAGTCTTTGTAGTGAGTTCTTCAAATTATAATTTGTGAGTGAACCACTGGCCTCTCTCCTTAATTAAATATTAAGAAATATAAGTGCAGAAAAAGTATCTGATCCATCCTTGTATCCTGAATTTCTTAGCAAACTAAGAACATAAGCATGTGATCATTGTACTTCAAAGGGAATCTTTTTTGCAGATAGATGAATAGTCCCAATTATAAACCTTGTATTCCTCCTGAATTAGGCTTTTTACTTCTCTGATTGCCTAACTGTCCAGCAATTAGGCTTAGTGTTAGGCCACTGCACTGAATACCTCTAGGAGGTGCCACTCATAGAGCACACACGCCAAATGGCACAAACTACCTATATGGCTGAGTGCATTGGCTCTGCTATGTAAGTCAGTATTCTTTGGTCTAAGTCATTAATGATGAATGGCTGCTTCATTGTAGACAATGTGTGCTAGTAACCCCAAGAAAGTGAATAGAAGGTTTGATAGGGTTAATAGCAGTGATTAATTCATTAATTCCTTAATTCATTGAGACACTAGAATACAGAGGTTAGGAGCTGGGGTCTAGAGTCAGAATATCTGGACTTAAATCCCAACTCCATACCTTAACTAGCTGATGACCTCTGACAAGTATCTTTCTCAAGCCTTCGGAGTTCTCACTTATAAATAAAGATTTTAGTTCCTACCTCTGGGATTTTTGTGATGACAAGACAATTATATTACAGAATGTTAAATATTATATTATATTGAAAATTACTTCACCTCCCCGGGCCTATGTTTCCTCATTTATAAATGGAGAAAAGGAGGCAGGAGATAGGGATGTGGGTGAGGCAGGGTAGAGTTGGGGTATGCTGGAGGTGGAAATAAAGGAGGATGAACTGAGGTCAGTGGTTATCAAGGTTTTGAGTTTGACAACCAGTGAATCACATATACCCATATATGTTGTACTGGGGGTCCCCAAGACCATCCTTAGATTTGATGCTTCACTGGAAGGTTTCACAGAACTCAGAAAGCGGTTATACCCATGGTTGCAGATTATTACAGCAGAAAAGATACAGATTAAAATCAGCAAAGGAAAAACACACAGAGGGTGAAATCTAGGGATAAGCACATGGTTTCAGATATCTTCTTCAAGTGAAGTTGTAGTAACAGCAGACAGTGCTTCATTCTCTCAGTAACAAGTTGTGACAGCATGTGTGGCCAACCAGAAAAACTCACTCCAGCATTTTTGGGATCAGTCTTGGGGATCAGTCATGTAGGCATGAGGTGCTGTTGTGACTGACCTTAGCTACTCAGTCTCTAGTCCCTCGCAGAGGTCAAACTGACAGAAAATGGTCCTAGGTCCCAGGTGAACAAAAACAGGCATTCACCATACATCACATTGTTAGCAGAAACACTTCCGGTATGGCCCAAGGCTCAGGTATAAAATAACATGTTTATTAGGTAGGATATTCCAAGACCTTATGGGTTATTTCTTAGGAGCCAGTGAAGGTCAGCCTTGAAGACGGTTGGAATGCACAGGATTTGAATAGCCCAAGTCCAAGTTAACTCTTTACTGCACATACATATATACTTATACATATTGCTTAGGTCTAATTCTTCCAAAATTTACGTTAAAACCTAGTTCTTGTTGTGGTGGTATTAAGAGGTGGAGCCTATTTGGAAATAATTAAGTAATGAGGTCTCCACATTCATGAATGGGATTAGTCCCCTTATAAAAGAAACTTAAAAACAGTTTCCTGGCCCTTCCTGCCATGTGAGTTCATAGCATTCTCTGCTGATGCCATGTGAGGATGCAATAATAGGTGCCATCTTTGAAGTACAGAGCAAGCCCTCACCAAACACTGAGTGTGCTAGTGCCTTGATATTGGACTTCCCAGCCTTAGAACTGTAAGCAATGAATTTCTATTTTTATAAATTACTCAGTCTCTGATAATTTTGTTATAGCAGCCAAATGAACTAAGGCAAATATACATATATGTATGCATACACATAAACAGATATATATATATAAGATATATATGATATATATAAGATATATACATATGATATATATACACACACACATATTTAAGGTTTTGATGAGACTGGAGTAGAATAAAAATCATCAAATTGCCAACTTTTTAGTGTTGCAGATAAAGCTTTTAAATGAACTGTATTCAACTGTCACCATTACTTAATAAAATGAAGGTCATTTTTACTAGCAAAAAAGGTAGAGGGACTCAATTGCAGAATATAGATGTCCTTATTGAGATAAGACATTCATGCATACATATGCACATATGCATTCACAGAGCAAAAATAGTAAAATGCATACATTTATAATATAAAGGCTTCTTTTATACCATTTCCATAAATAATTATTTCCTTGAACAATTATCAATTTGGAAATCTATATTTGATTATATATCACAAAGTAGAGCTTATTCATCCAACTGTTTCCTATACTATGTTATTTTTTCACAGTTTAACATAGAAAATACCGTTTGCAATACATAGAAGTGTTGGCCAAAAATAGAAAATAAAACCTATTTTATTTCATTTGGAATATTCTGGGAAAACTAAACTGAAAGTCCAAGCAATGATTGTGTCATACCTTTGGCTGCAGTTTGGATGACTCACTAGAGCAGCCTGTGCTTAGGAAGCTCAAGGGTTCCCCTTATACTGAGCACGGTAAGCTTGAGGGTTGGAGGTGTGTGGGCATTACGTGCCTCAAAAAGAGCAGTGCGGAATTTATCTGAGAAGAATGTTTTGGATCAGACCATGAAAAAGTGTTTGGGAACAACTGGGCCAGATGGACTTCTTCAGTCTTAATGTATATTACCTGACTTTTGGAAATACGAATAAGAAAAACAAAGTGGATGCTGCTTTTAAGGAGTTAGTGATATAGCTACAGAAATAAAACTAATGGGAATGAAACAGTACAAAGTAATGAAATGCTAAATAAATGGACTAACTACATAAAGATGAGAAGATCTTAGAATGATGGAATTTTCAGGGAAGATGTGAAATCTGATCTGGACTGTAAAGAACTAGCAGGATTTGCATAAGGAGAAGGAGAGAGCTTTCCAGGTGGGAGAAAGAAAAGGAACTGAGGCCTAGAGGAGGGATTAGTCATAGACCATGCCAGCACCAGTGGTGGCCCCAGAAGCTTAAGTGGAATTCAGCCTTATTTTTAATTTTTTAAATGAGAGTCTTGCTCTGTCACCCAGGCTGGAGTGCAGTGGTGCCATATTGGTTCATTGCAATGTCTGCCTCTAGGGTTCAAGCGATTCATGTGCCTCAGACTCCCAAGTAGCTGGATTACAGGCATGTGCTACTGCACCTGAGAGACAGGGTCTCACCATGTTGGCCAGGGTGGTCTTGAACTCCTGGCATCAAGTGATCTGCCCGCCTCAGCCTCCCAAAGTGCTGGAATTACAGGTGTGAACCATGGTGCCCGGCCCAGAACTCAGCCTTATAGAAGAATAAAAACATTGACTTCCTAGTGAAGGACCAAATGAGGCAGGTCGAGAAAGCTAGGTAGTAGAGTTGGACTATGAATTGTGCAGACAAGACATACAGATTTGTGAGGGGGCGAACATCTGTAATTTATTGAGCAAATGTATATTGAGTACTACTGTGTGTCAGACGCTGTGTATTGTACCTGTAAGTAGTGACTATGTCAGATGTAATCGGTGCTGTCAAATGTTTAACAATAAGCCCCCTGGGGGAAAATATGCCCTGAGTCATAGTGTTTGCTGATGTCTATGGTATAAATGCACCCACAATGGACAATTTAAAGTTATCAGCATGACTTTGTTGAAGGCAGTGTTTGAGAAGACATGCACACAATCCACTTTCTCCAGCTGGTGAGAGCCAGGTCCAGCACACCACTGGATAATCCCAGGCATCGTAAATCTGAAAATTGATATCTCTGGGAGAGCCATCTAGCAGTATTGTTGAGGGTAATTGGTAGAGGGAGGAGATAACAGCCTAAGCTTATTTGCTGTACCAGGCATAGAGCAATAAAGGCTGTGCTGGAGTGTTAGCAGTGAAAATGCGGAGAAAAATGTGTACAATGGAAATATTTTAAGGGAAGAAAGAGTGAGACTTGGAAAAATAGCTGTGGATGATGAAGGAAAAGTCAAAGACTGACTTCAGCAATACTACTGAATTCAGTAGTCAGGGAGGCCTATGATTAGAAATAGTGTGGTTGGTGTTATAGTTCTCCACTCCCATGACCTTTCACCCTAGCAGCTGAGGTTCTTTTGCTTCTTTTAAAAACTTAATCCTATCCCATGCCCTGGGACTAATCCTGGACTATGCAAAGGAAGTTCTTAAAAACTTTACTGGAAGCAGCTGTGTGATAAGATGAAATAAGTCGTGGGTTCAGGAATTGAAGGTTTGGTTTTTAAACCCTGGCTCAGCTACTTGCTGGTAACATGACCTTGAATAGTTTGCTTTCAACTATTAGCCTTTAGTTTCCTCATCCG